CTTTCCAGTTTCCAAACGTTGTGGCTCTTTTCTGGCCCTATGCTTAATATTCGTGGGATGCAAACAATTATAAAACAGTCCTCCTTTGGACTTGGGACTCAACTCCCCACCCATTCATTTTCTTTCTTCCTTTTTTTTTTTTTTTTCTGTATTGTGTGGTAATTCTATTTCGTCACGTTACTACTGTAACTTTTTAGAAATGGTTGCTTCGGACCCTACAGTTTGAATTTTAATTAATTTCTCTGCTTTTAAGTAATTGCTCTTGTTTTAAGTAATTTGCATACATTTCCAAGAATAATATAAAGACGTCCCATTTCTGTTGCCTACATGTCACAACCCTGACATTAATAAAAGCAAAATACAGACCATAGCAGCACTATGTATTCCCTCTTGTTGCCAATTCACAAAATACCAAAGAACGTAATGCAATACAATAAGAATATAAATGCAAAAACAAGAAAGCTTCTTAAGCAGAGGTGACCCATGTTTCCTTTAAAACAATAGGACTAGAGAGATGGCTTGAGACTAAGACTCAAGGCCAAAAAGACAAAAATAATAATTAGGACTGGTTGTGGTGGCAGCAGCATTCTGGAAACAGAGGCAGGAGAATCTTTGGGAGTTCAAGGCCAACCTGGTCTACATAGTGAATGCCAGCCCAGCCAGGGCTACACAGTAAGACTGTCTCAAAAACAAGTAATAATTAATAATAACAACAACAATACTTTTCTGTCTGTTTTGTGCTACAGCAGGATACTCTGCATCTTATATGACTGCTTCTAATATTATTTCTTTGAGCTATCTGTAATATTTAGAGAATCCTTTTTATTATGGCAAATTGAGTTCAATCTAGGATAAAATTTACAATAGTGTTTTCTTTTCTTTCTTTCTTTTGTGTATTATTAATGACTGGTGATCAAAATCAGAAGCCACAGCCAGGGGACCGGCCCTACACACTGAACTGATGCTCAGCCCCATTTCTGCTCTTACACAGCCAGTATATTGCTCAGGTTCCCAGCTTCATTCCAGTCAAGCCACGCCACCCACTGCACATACATGTGGACAGGTGTGGCGGGTTGAAGCTACATGACAGGGATTAGGAGGTGTGGCCTTGTTGGAGGGACTGTCACTGGAAGTGCGCTTTGGGGTGTCAAGTGCTCAGGCCAGGCCAGGCGTCTCCTCCTCTTTCAGTTACCTGTCAATGAAGATGAAGAACTCTGAGCTACCTCTCCAGCACCGTGTCTGCCTGCAGGCCACGCTTCCCACCATGATGCTATGAACTAACCCTCTGAATATAACCAAGCCCCAATTAAATGTTTTCTTTTACAAGAGTTATCATGGTCATGGTGTCTCTTCACAGCAATAGACATTGACAAAGACAGCATGGATACTCAGAATGTTGCCTACAGACGGCACAAGTGGCATGAGCAAGGGCAGCAGGAGCGATGAAGCGCTGAAAACAAAATTTAATGAAAATACCATGATAAGACCTGTTACTTTGTTTGCTCCTGCAATATTTAATCTAAAAAATGAACAACTTCAATTTTTTCTCTCTCTTTTTTTTTAGCATGTGAATTTTTGTCATGATCTGTAAATAGGATATCACTAAACAAAATTTATGAAAGCCACGGTTCAGAACTAAGTTCCTTTCTGCCCTAGGGCCCTTCCAATAGACCAAATTATAACAGTGCCACCTGTTTAATCAAACCAAACTCCAGCAAGGTCCTGATCAACAAGCAGTGCCAGCCACCAGTCAGAAGGAACTCAGTCTGCCCAAGTCAGTGTGGTGAGGGCAAGCCACTGTTTTAACCATGGAAGGAAACATGAAATGGTCAATCCTTTCTTGTTCCTGATTTCTACTTTATTGATCCTTTTTATTCTTATAAAGTCTCCTCCCACAATCCCCTCCCTGGAACACCTTTCAGTTTGATAGATGACATACTGGCCAACTAATAAAAATCACTTCGATTTTTTAAGTTTATTGAAAATATAAATTTATAAGTTACTCAAGTCCTTTCCCCTATGTTAATCCCTCAACCTTTTCAAATTACAGATTATTCCTCTTATACTACAGTTTGGAAATGTTATTTACAACAGGTCTACATTTTGACCTTTGCTGTGACCAGTGACAGCAATAAGCATCTTGTAGACACGTAGCTAATACTGCTATCCCCTGCCTTTCCCATGAAGTCAAATATCACATTAAGCACGTCTTTATAGTTTGATAAAATTGAAAAGTGACCCTAAGCCTTAAGGAAAATAGAAAGCCTTGCTGTCCTGACTAAGGACATCAAGAGTGTAAGTAATGTAAGATGGTGTCATTTACCTTTAATCCCAGTACCCAGGAAGCAGAGACCAGCAGATCTCCAAGAGTTGGAGCCTGACCTATACAGTGAGTTTTAGACCAATGAACGGTATATCCTGAAGTCATGTATCAACACACACACACACACACACACACACACACACACACACACACTAACAGATTCCCAAGAGTTTGTGTAAAGAACAATTTATTCTTTAAGCTTTGAGGTCTCCTATGTCCCTTTTGGACTCCTGAGGGTCGAGGGATATAGTAAGGAGCCTGCGGAAAAGTCAGTGAGACTTGGGAAGATGACCTTGAAAATTTGACTTGCAACGAAGGTAGTAAGATGAAGTGAGGGTCGGCTGAGGAAATGCTTTTGTTAAGACCACAAAAAGCTTGCGTGTATCCGAGGGGGAAGCAGAAGATCAAAGCGATCCTTTTCATCTAGTTCAGTTTTGGGAAGATGTTGAATCTTCCAGACATTTTCAGGAGAGAAAAAAAAATCATTTAAGAAATTTAAGAACACTTGAAATAAGCTTGTTCCCTAACTAGAACAAATAAAATAAAATAAAATAAAATAAAATAAAATAAAAAGAAATTTAATAACAGTTTGGACTGGGGTAGACAAAACATAATTTGTTACTAAAATAATGTGTCGCAACACCGCTTTCACTTGCCTCCTTAGCACAGTAGGCAGCGCGTCAGTCTCATAATCTGAAGGTCCTGAGTTCGAGCCTCAGAGGGGGCAGTTGCTTTTGTATTCCTGTTTAAAACTCAAAACTGTCTAATGCAAAACTAATTGCTCCCTGAACTCCAGGAAGCTGTGCTGGTAGCCACCATTTTCCAGTTGACAAGAGCCTCGAGCTCTCATACTCAACTTCCTTCTTCCAACAGCAGTCTCCCATGCAGCTTGTGTACTGGAAAGAATGAATGCATAGATAGATGAACAGAAATTCCTCGTTTTTGAAAAGATAGGAAGCTTCCTTACCACCAAATAAACTGTCTCGGTTTTCTGCCTCGGTTTTCTGTCTGTCTTTTTGTTCTACAAAATCGCCTGGCACACGGAAACGTCAGTTTGGTTATTGAAAGCCTTAAAGAAATAACCTTGCTGCAATCTGGGCAGAAAAACACTAGCGCCCGAACAGGGACTTGAACCCTGGACCCTCAGATTAAAAGTCTGATGCTCTACCGACTGAGCTATCCGGGCTCTTACGAGGTTCATATTCTAGAGTGCATAAAGGTACATCAGAAAGTATTAGTGTGTATCTTTTTTTTATTTGTATTTCCGATTCTACATTTGACCAACTGATTTAAGAATATATTGTCTGTCATTTCACCACTAAAATGCAAATTCCACGAGAGCATTTCCTGGGTTCTCAGTATTAAACCTTCACCCCTTATATAATAGCAAGTGCACAATGTGGCAAAGCAGCAAAAATAACGGCAGGAAATAGTTATTGCCTTGGTGGGCTGGGGGATGAAGAAGAGGTCAGGGTTTCTGAGGAAGGGCATCACGGCTTTCAGGAGGAAGCACCGGTTGGAGAGCCGGCAGCAGGGATGCTACTTCAGCCTCCAGTAACTTCTATAATGAAATGTTCTGGGACCCCACAAAGAGAATGGAGGTTAGGACAATTTGTCAAGCGAAGAAAAACTCAGACACGAAGTTGGCTCCTTTCTCCTGCCTGCCATTTTCTCTCTGACCCTTCTTTTGACAGACTTTAAGGGAAAGCCTGGGGCGATGGTGTTTCGGGATGTAATCTGTAGACACCAGGCCCCACCATAGAACGGCCTACAGGACCGCGGATCCGGAGCTCCGAGGATGGATTGGCAGGGACACAGCTTTAAAGCCGCACATCATGAGTGGAGCGGAAAACACTCACTCACCTGTTGCTCTCTCCTGGCTCCACAGAAATACCGAGAGCTCCTGAACATTCGTCTTCCTTGCCTTATTGCTCTTTTAGGCATTTTTCTGACTCTTGCAGTTTGGATAACAGAAATTCTGTCTAGAACAAGACCCCAACGTGGTGAGTGAGACTCAGCAGAAACGTTTGTGCTTTGTTTTTCTTTATTTTTGTATCTTAGTTTTGTTTCGTTTTTTGACATGGGTGGAATGGAGTGACCCGATAGTAAGCAATCCCAGAAGAATGGTTAAAGAGAACCAAGCCAACAAGTTCACACATCTGACACCTTTCACGCTCGCACCCCGGTCTCCCTCTCTCTTTTACACCCTGGGCTGGGGAATTTCCTGGCCCTGGTGTGTTAACAAACAATTGCCAAATATATTTGAAAGACACCTGAAATTCTCCTGGCTCCAAATGGTATGGATGATGACAATGATGATGAAAAATTAAGAAGTGTTTGATTTTCTTTTTAAGACAGAGCCCTGGAACTCGCCATCCACCGGACTCTGTCTCCCGGGTGTTGCAATATTATAGGCTTGTTTCATCACTCTTGTCAACATAATTTTCATTCATAATTTTACTTATTTATATTTATTTTTGGTTTTTAGAGACAGGGTTTCGAACTCACAGAGATCCGCCTGCCTCTGCCTCCAGAGTGCTGGGATTAAAGGCGTGCGCCACCAACGCCCGGCTCATTCGTAATTAAAAAAAAAAAAAAATACTATTTTATAACTTTGTAGCTGACCATTATATAAACAGAAAAATTCCCATTCAGTTTCAACAGTTTTGAGGTTTGCTTTTGCGAAAATGAACATTGTACTTTTTATGATAATGGAGGGAGAGATTTGCCGACCATACGCTCCAGAGCGCAATTCTCTTTGGAACTAAAATAAGCTGCGGCTGCCCCCTCTGAGGTTCGAACTCAGGACCTTCAGATTATGAGACTGACGCGCTGCCTACTGCGCTAAGGAGGCGCCTGTGACGAGCGTCTTCACGAATCATGTACTCATGTTGTTCTCTGAGACATCTCTACGTTCTTGTCATTCTCCTGTTATGCTGATACTTAAAACACCTTCTGTTGTGGAACTTCATCGTATAAAGCAGGAACCGAGCCTACGCAGCTGTGTTAAGAAACCTTAGAGACCGCGGAACGAGAACCTGCCAGAGGGCCGTTCGCAAAGGACTGCAGGAAAGGAGCCTGAAAGCGTGCAATTACTCCAGGAAGACAAGATATGGGAGCGCACTCACAAGGGTAGCGTGGCCGAGCGGTCTAAGGCGCTGGATTAAGGCTCCAGTCTCTTCGGGGGCGTGGGTTCGAATCCCACCGCTGCCAACGATTTTGCTCAGGCCTCTGGGTTTTTTTCCTTGGTTAAAGTGGACAGTTTTTGGTTCCTTAGGATTCTCAGCCAGGATTCTCCCCTCCTGCTTTTTACCCAGGTCACTGATAATAGTCATACATACCATACCCACAGTAGTTCCGGCAGAGCATATCCCCTTCAACTAATTGCTTCAATTAACATTCGATAAGAACGTAATATGTGTGACATTTACTCCCCTAATCACTTCATTTTCACCAGTCAAAAGGATCCGCCAACAGATAACAAGCTTTTCTTTAATTCATTCATGTTAAAAAACATATTATTCCGCACCTACTAAGTGCTAGGGCCTGAAGACTCCGCAGTACTTTCTTACGTTGGTCGACGAATGTGAACTTTCTCTTTCCCTGAGTCGATTTGCAACCAGAGACAGATCGGCCGTTTGCCACTAAAGACGTAAATTCTTTCCCATCCGGGAGACGGAAAGCCTGCCCTCAGGATCACCACAACCTTCTCATGTCATTTTGAACCCGAATCATGTTCCTCCAAGCTGTGTGAGTCTAATACCTTGCAAAAGGAAAACAAAACAAAACAACAAAAAATGATCAAACTATATTATATGAAAACAATAAGAGTAAGTTAGTAAATAATGAAATAAAATAAATGTCTTGCCCTGCCACTGCCCCTTATCTGACAGCTAAGGACTCCCGGGTGTGATGCACTTTGGGTCTTCCTAGAGGCATTGTGGCTGATAGCGCCTCATAGCTCCTCCTCAGTCTTGGGCCTCAACTCAGAAATCATCTTCTGAAGGACTTCCTAAACCTCCTACCAACTCGGCGATTACAATTATTCTCTGGAGATACCGACAGGAAAAGAAAGAGGGCCCCTGCCCCTCAGGAAGAGGGCAACCAGAGAGGGGGGAAGGAAAAGGAAGGAAGGCAAAGAAGGAGGAATTGTCCCCTTTAGACTCATTGAGTTGAACCTATGGAGTGAAGGTTAAAGGAGACGCCACCACCCTACCCTGCAAGTCTAAAACTGGCCTACGGTACTGAAAGCGCTGAACCTTCATTTGTTCTTCCTCAAGTTCACCTGGCTTGCTTTCCGTGTCCACGCTGCTCGCACTGAATGAACTTCAGCGGAGACGCCAAGACCCGATCTTGGGGCTGTAGAAGAGGAAGAAAGATTGCGTCTTGGCACCTGCTGCCTTGTGACGAGGGAAGGGCATTTACAAGCCGCAGCAGCTCATGACCTGAGGGCATGCGGCCTGGCACACACTAGTTGCTCGTGAATGTCTGCGGATACCGAGAATGAGTAAATGCAGCTAGAGGAAGGATATACTACATATTTCTTTGTTCAATTTCTAATGATAGGACTAACATCCAGTTTACCTTTCGTGGTGGGGGTGGGGTGGGGGGAGGGGAAGCACAAACTGCAGGGACTACTCTGCCAGAAGCTGAGATGCAGAACACACGACAGGAGAGTCGGTGCACTCCACGTGGCGCCTGACCATTTCTGTGGCCCAGACACTGAAGACCAAGATTTTCTACTTAAAAAGTGAATTGCTCTGGTAGAATCATTCGGAGGCTGAGATAGACATCCATTTAAAGCCGTGTTCTCCTTCCGTTTGTATACCAAGCATGCGCTTGCAAAAAGCACGAGGACCTGGCTTCAGTTGTGAGGTGGAACAAGACCGGGGTTGGGGGACAGAGGAGAAGGGAAGTAGGGGAAGGAAGTGGGGGAGAAGAACAAAGTTTAATGACTTATATATGTGAAAATGTCACAATTAGACACATTTGTATGCTAAGTAACTGGACAACGAAAGAAAACAGCAAACAGCCCAACAGGAAATAAATAATTAAATGAAGGACCAAGGATACAGATCAGAAATTCATGAGAAGGTAACAATGTTACTTTGAAACATACTAAATTCGTAACAATTTCAAATAACACCTGTGAGATATTGTTTCTCTTTAAAAAAACAAAAACAAAAACAAAAACTTTTTTTAAACTCAGTGTTCACAGATGGACACTATGGCAGGCTGTCCTTCAAGTTGGTTCCATGGTGTAATGGTTAGCACTCTGGACTCTGAATCCAGCGATCCGAGTTCAAATCTCGGTGGAACCTAATTTTTTTTTCTTTTGCTTTGTTTCATGCACTGAACTTAGTTTTATTGAATTCCTGCATTCGTTTCATACAATGAACAGTTCTTTTGTCTGTCCGCATTTGGCTCTTGATGACCCTGGCAGTGAAAAATGTCATGTGGTATCTAACACTGTCAACTCCGCACTCAACTGTCAATTGTGTCACTACGAAGTTTGTGCACGTTCCCTACAACGTTCAAGAAAAAATTCAAACAGTTCATGCAGTATCCTGCTGCCACCACGTTTTCCCGCTGGTGGCAAAGTCACGTTTAGTGCTCGAGCACAGCTTCGTGATTAGTGGGACGGACTTCATGGAAGGGCCGGAGTAGACTAAGAAAAACGAAAAGAGAAGAAGTGCCTTTGAAAGGCATTGAAAACAGGTAAAAAACAGGTGTGTCAGGAGTGGGATTCGAACCCACGCCTCCAGGGGAGACCAGAACCCTCACTTTCGAGGAAGCTGCGCTTGAGTCTGGCGCCTTAGACCACTCGGCCACCCTGACACGACGCTTGTACGGCAATTAATGAATCTTTTCAACTGTAATGAATGTGTATATAATTGCAATTATTTTATTTTAGGATTCATTTACGTCGTGAAAACACAAATTCCTGCAAGGTGAACTAAACTGCTTTTCTCTGTCTAGTCAGAAACGTGAACACTAAAACTCCAGAAGTTTTTTGCTCCCAATCCCATCTGGAATTCAGCGTTTATCGGCTCCTGGATCCCGGGTCCTTCCAGAGTACAGCGGAGATCGCAAAAATCCTGCATTCATCAGCGTCACAACCGGACACAGAGCTCAGGCTCTTTACGAAATGGTGTCCTCAAGCAACGGATTGGTGGAGAGAGTTTACAAGGGAGTGAGCCCATAAAACAGACAAGTTAGAAAGGGGGTGTGGTCCATGAACACTGGCTGCAGTGTAAACCAGAGAGTGGCAGCGGCCTGAGCTTTGAAAACTGACGGTCAATGTAAGAGAAAGACCGAAGATCAGGAATTAAAGGGTAGAAACTTTGGAAGGGAAACGTCAGAGTGAAACGAAGGAAATATTGGTACAGAACCCAAATCCCAGATCCTTTGCTCAGTAGACTTGCAGGCCAGACGGTCTGGTGATTTTTCAGGAAAAGGCGCAATTGTCTTTGGAAAATGGTACCATAGTAACAACAGACGCTGACAGTTGAAGTATTCCAAAGAAATAGCTGGGTCTTGGTATGACCCCTAGAAGAATCTCTAGGTTACACGGCATCCAGAATCAGAGTTTTAATTTCTAATCTTAAGTATGAATAACAGCCAAGGAAAATCAGGTACTTGTGAAATATTTCTACAGTAAAGAAAAAAGATATATAATAAGGGTTCGGAGAGGACCTGGGTCGGGGGAGACAAATACAACTCAGGAACTTGGAAGATTTTTTTTCATTATAATAAACTTCTATAGGAGGTAAAATAAGAGGTAGAAATTCTTCAATACTGAAGTGGCAGAGAGTTTTTTGAAGTTCCAAAACAAAGGCGGCCGGGCTGTGGTGGCACATGTCTTTAATCCCAGCACCCTGCCTCGAAAAGCCAAAACCAACACCAAAAACAAACAAACAAAACCAAAGGTGAAGAAATCTCCTAGAAAATGGGTGGGGAAAGGAAAAACCCTGATAAACAAAACCCTTTTTTAAAGTATGGTAGAAGGCATGTTCTCAAACCCTGGGGCTTTCTGGGAAAGAAAAGGCGGAAATGACAGAAAGGGAATAGAGTTTACCGGACTGAAGTCCTCAAATCCCCAGATGGGACAGGCCCATCAAAAATGCAAGACAAGCTTGTCAGGTCTATCAGAAGTGACTAGTCTTTCTTAAAAGAAAGACATATGCAAAGATAATGACAAAGGATTCAGATTCAGAATGGTGTCCTTTTTTAAACACAGTAAAACTGAAAGCTAGAGGACAGGAAGTCAATGATTTGTAAGTTTAAAAAAAAATTCCAAAAGTAGGATCTTCTCCTGATGGAGCCCTGGGGCGGGGGGCTGAGCCTTGGGAGTTGCCTAGAAGGCTCTTCCCCTGTTACCCACTTCTTCACTCCTGATTTTGCTCGCTAAGTTACACAGGCAAGCTTGGAGCTCACAGTTACTCAGCCACTCCTTGAAGTCGGCCCCTCCCGCCTCATCCTCTGAAGTAGTCAATGAGTCATGATCACATCTAAATGTCTACCCCCAGCCAAACTACTGACAAAATGTAAATAGACATTTTCATTACACCTATTTGTTTACAGAGGGGCAGATGCCATGGTCTGCACGTGGAGGTCAAAGGACTTGCAGAGTCAGTGCTCCTTTCCTACCATGTGGGTCACAGGAACCTAACTCAGGCATGGGAGCACACACTTTGACACACAGAGACACCGCACCAGTCCTAAAGGGTCATTTATGTGATTCAAAACATTGTATGTCCTATGTACATTCTCAGGAAGTTTCTGGAGAATTGTTCTAGCAAACACAGACTTAAATGAAAGCACGTGAAATCCCATAATAGTGACATTCTCACAACAAAAAAGTAAAGCACAATGTTCCAAGGTTTGCTGAGTTTCAAGGCTAGAAAGAAGCCATTCTATAATGGAAGAGGGAGTTATACAAGAGAACACACATGGGACAAGATTCTCACACCTTCAATCCTTAGAACCTGTCACCCAGTGAGTTCCTCTTCTCTAGTACCTGTCTTTTAGTCTTCTCTTACCACAAGACAAGAACAACCATCTACTGGGTAATATTTGGGTGTCTCTGGGAAGAAACAGGACACTAATCTGCATTTTAAATGGTAAAATCTCCCTAAATCATGAAAAGTTTTCAGAGGAAAAAAAGTCATTCTCAAGACTAATAAACCTTACCCCTGCAACAACTCAATAAAATGCCTGTACTTTTCCAGGTCTGAAAGGAAACTGAATTCCTGGAAAGCTGGGCTGATGCCGTTCTTTGACCCCTTTTTTTTCCAGTTAGAATTTTTTGCCTGAGAGTTTATCCTCAGTCTGTTATATCTATAATCATAGGGACAAGTTCTCATGTATTCAGTATCCACAGGTAAGCTAGGGGTCTTCAGGATGACTCAGCAGGCAAAAGCATTGCCACCAAGGCTGACTGTCTCAAACCCAAAGGCAGGAGGAAAAGGACTTCTGTGATTTGTCCTCTGACACCCCCCACCCCAACACACACACACACACACACACACACACACACACACACACGCTGATGTATGCATACATTTTTTATAGTTTTTATTTTTTGTGATTATAACTGTACCATCCCCCATTTTTTTCCCTCGAATGTGCCTCTTTCCTCTTGCTGTCTCTCAAATTCATGACCTCTTTTTCTTTAATTGTTGTTAGGGAGACAGATCATCAGTTAAGGATACTTACTGCTGTTTAAGGTATTATACCTATGCAGCTCATTTAAAAATGTAATGTAAAGTTCTAGTCCTTGAAAACTACTATTATGAACTGTTTAGGATAATTAAGAAATACAGGTTAGTAATTAGTCATCTATAACAATCACACTTGTCATGTTAGGCATGTTTTTAAGGTTAAACGAGGTATAATTTAGATAGATAGGTCTGTCTTCAAAACACTTCTGAGATCTACAGAATATGGCATTTAAGATGTTTTAATGACCCAAGGCTTTTTCACCACAGTGAGACATGTCTGCTCCTGGCAGCACCAATCTACTTCAGAGAAGATGATGAACATCAAAGAACCTCCATATGGAGTTTGCTTCAAATGTGGCAAAGCTATCCTTGGGCAAGAAACTGCCCTTGCCTCAACAATTGACAGTATGCTTTGCAAATTGGACCAGCAGGACACAAAGGAAGGCAACTGCCAAACTTTGCCAAGGCAACATAAGACAGCCTTTCATTATCCTGCTTCACAGAAAAGTCTGTCAGATATTGTGGGCCTGTAGGCCAAAGATGGATGCTCCAATGTTGCAGAGGAAGCTTGGATGACTGTCCAGGCAGCCAGCTATCTCTGCCATGTCTTTATTTTTGTAAGTTGCTTGCTCTGCACTTCCTGTTCCTACTCAGGTAACATTTATCCTTTCAGGTCTCTGATGGGGTTGAA